TCCAGTCCATGTAGTTATGTACAAGAGGAAGAAGAAAAAAAGATGAGCTCTGGTTCGGTTTCAGAATGTGTTACTGCTGGGCACTACCTATTATGAGAATCTCTCTCGCACTCTCAGTGTAACAGCTCACACGTTGCTGCTCCTAAAATGTTTTCGTCAGGTTTCCTTATATAAATAGAGTTGCTTTGTAGATAATGTAGCAAAATAAAACAAAACCTTGGGACTCCCTGGTCCTGAATGGGGCAACTGTGCCCCTGAAGTACCAGGTGCACAGCCTGGGAGTAATTTTGGACTCAGCTGTCCATGGAGGTGCAGGTCGATTTTGTGTCTAGGGCAGCTGTCTACCAGCTCCATCTGGTATGCAGGCTGAGACCCTACCTGCCTGCGGATGGTCTCGCTAGAGTGCTGCATGCTCTGGTAATCTCCCACTTGGACTACTGCAATGCGCTCTACATGGGGCTACCTTTGAAAGTGACTTGGAAACTAAGAATCCAGAATGCGGCAGCTAGATTGGTGATTGGGAGTGGCCGCCGAGACCATATAACACCGGTCCTGAAAGACCGACCATTGGCTCCCAGTATGTTTCCGAGCACAATTCAAAGTGTTGGTGCTGTCCTTTAAAGTCCTAAACAGCCTCGGCCCAGTATACCTGAAGAAACGTCTCCACCCCAATCCTTCAGCCCGGACACTGAGGTCCAGCGCCGAGGGCCTTCTGGCAGTTCCCTCACTGTGAGAATGAGGTTACGGAACCAGGCAGAGGGCCTTCTCAGTGGTTGCACCCACCCTGTGGAACGCCCTTCCATCTGATGTCCCAAACCTGGATCTTTCCATCCAGGGGGTTCTCCTTTCTATATTTTATTTTTTCTTTGTCAACGACATAAAATTCTTAGTGCTCTGTTCTGATAATCCACTTCTTGTATAGCTTATCTTAAAATGTAGGGTGCAAGTTTGTGTATATTGGACCAAAAGTAAAGCCCGCAAAGCAAACACAAAGTACAGCTTTTTAGATATAATTTATTCTTTATTGATTTTGGAAAGGATAGATATAACCTGAACACCAATAGATTTAAGAGTTTTTCTATTTTGGAGTAGAAAATGGAACAGGAGACGTCAAGATTCAATCTGGTAATAAATTTATAAGGATTTCATTCATTTCAAAACTGAGCAGATTTATCTATTACAAAGCTGAGTACTTGGCATGTTCACCGATCAGTGTTACTCAGAGCGCTAGTATTTACACTAGAAGGGAGGATTATAAATGTTCAGTAAATAAACAAATGGAGAACTCTTCCCATTTCACTTGCTGACTTCTGCCATCTCAGCCCCAGTACGTACCTTTCTGCTCCCAATCTTGTGTTGCTCTTTCTGTCCGTATCTGTGAACCCCAGCCCCTCTGCAGCCTAACACTATTAGTGTGTGTCATTTTCTTTAAAACAAATAAAACCATATAGGGGACACAGAGAGTTGTACAGCTAGGAAGCCACTGCCTCCATAAATTTCCTCCAATTTGCAATGAAAGAAGACTGGGGCTGAAAGACAAATGCAAAGTGTTCATGTTTATAGTCTAAGCAGTGGTGTCCAAACTTTTTTCAAAGAGGGCCAGATTTGATGAAGTGAAGGGCCATGAGGGCCAACCAAAGGGCCGACCAAAGTTAACCTTTTTTTAAGATTGGAGTTGTGGAAAAAATTTTATGATCTTACCCCAAAGAGGTGTTTTTTTTTAGGATTTTACCCTACCCCAGGAAATAAACTGCCACAGGGGCCAGATTAAACCGACTGGCCCCCAAAAGAACTTTGGACATGCCTGGTCTAAGTTATATGTGAATACACAATGTTACTGTTGTTTTACTGGTACATCATGATGGAATGTAGACCAGGTGCCTTGTAATTTCTATGGGTTTTGGCCCATTAGCACACTTATCAGCATGTTAACACTTCTTTGAAATTCCTCTCTTCATTTCTGAATTTTATTATTATATTTTTTTCCAAAGGAAATTATATGAACCATCTTTAGGATGGTAAAGCTGCAAAGTTTACCTTCGCTGAGGCCCTAAAACAGCTTTCTTGCAAAGCAGTGACCATATTTGCTGTGGGAGTGACCAAAGGTGCTGTGCACAAGTTGCAATATTTGCCCTTCCCATTTAAAACAATGGGGAATGGGAAAGCAAATAACAGAAATGGAAAGGACAAGCAACCTGTGATTTCCTTGAATTTTTGTATGCATTAAAATGAGCAGAACAAACCAGAGGGAACTGTTTCTGGGGGAAATACATCTGCCATTACTATTTTATCTCTGCCACAGAAGTCGTTAACTCTCAAAAAGGCAGTGACCTTAGCCTTATCTGAAGGAGTGTGCATGCACACGAAAGCTGATACCCAAAACAAACTTAGATGGTCTCCAAGGTGTTACTGGACGATTTTTTAATTTTATTTATTTACTTATTTCGACTGCATCAGACCAACATGGCTGCCTACCTGAATCTTAGCCTCACAAGTTCCTCTCCTGACATTATGTTACTTACTGAGATCTGTTTTACACGTTAAGTGGCAGCAATTTGTGTTTGTCAGTGGGTGAGCTCAAGACAATCGAGCAGCGTTAAGCCAGTGATCAATCTCCACACGAGTTTAAAATTTTAAGGTTTTTAAATGCATTCTTTCAACTCTCTTACAATTGGATGCAGGCCTTGGAGGGTGCTAAGAAGAGGTAACATGTAATGAACGTCGAGGCTATTTCTTCTGCAAGACTACTCTTGCTATCACTTCCTCTCTGTCTTCACCAGCCACTTCATAAGTTTATGCAACTTCGGGCTCTGCGTGTGGAGAAAAATATAGGGGAGCTACTAAATCTAAAGAACTGCTGGATTTTGTGTTTTCAGAAATGAGGTACTCTATCCCAGTACCCCTGGGTATAACCTGAAACCTATGTGAGCCTAGTCAAGGCAGAGGTGGGGAACCTCAGGCCTGGGGGCTGGATGCAGCCCTATTTGGCCCATCAAACTATCCCTGTCCCTTACTGACCCTGTTTTGCACTCCAGATATTTTTGCATGGTTTGAATATCTGCCTGAGCTCTGCTCATACCTCTTGCCTGTCTAGATGAAGGATCCAGAAGGATTTGTGATGCGTTATGTAGAAAAGATTCATCGCTCTGCCCACTTTTGCCTCTGGCCCTGCTCTCGGAAATGGCTCTCAGGAGCCTCCCCATAACAGAATATGGCCCCAAGCTGAAAATAGTTCCCTACCTCAGGCTAATCCGCTATATATTGCTCTCATAACGCATGAGAATGCAGACTTTTGGACTTTAACACTGAACCAGGATCTCCACACACCCCCTCGCACCCCATTTTGCTTAACCCTCAGAGTTATGGAGAACTGGAAAATCTGCAAACCCTCCCAAGTGTCCCTATTTTCCAGGGACAGTCCTGGATTTACAGAAGCTGTCCCAGTTTCTGATTTGATCCCGAAATATCTTGCTTTTCCTTAAAGGTAAAGGGACCCCTGACCGTTAGGTCCAGTCGCGGATGACTCTGGGGTTGCGGTGCTCATCTCACTCTATAGGCCGAGGGAGCCACTGTTTGTCCGCAGACAGCTTCCGGGTAATGTGGCCAGCATGACTAAGCCACTTCTGGCGAACCAGAGCAGCGCGTGGAAATGCCGTTTACCTTCCCGCCGGAGCGGTACCTATTTATCTACTTGTACTTTGATGTGCTTTCGAAGTGCTAGGTGGGCAGGAGCTGGGACCGAACAACGGGAGCTTACCTCGTCGCGAGGATTCGAATTGCCGACCTTCTGATCGGCAAGCCCTAGGCTAGTGGTTTAGAGTAGACCACAGCGCCACCCGCGTCCCCCTTGCTTTTCCTTAGGATGTCCTATTTTCATCAACAATTTGAGGGGGGTATCTTTATGTGACCCCCAAGCCAAGGAGAGAAGTACCTATACAACCTTTAGAAGACATCTGAAGGCAGCCCTGTATAGGGAAGGTTTTTTGGTTTTTTTTTAGTATTTAATGTTTTATTATGTTTTTATCCTATGTTGGAAGCTGCTCAGAGTGGCTGGGGCAATTCAGTCAGATGGACAGGGTATAAATAAAATACTAATACTACTACTAATAATAATTGCATACACTCCTTTCTCCAATGAAAATAGGGACGTCATAAGGAAAAGTGGGGCATTCCGGGATCAAATTGGAAATGGGGACAGCTTCTGTAAATCTGGGTCTGCCCCTGGAAAATAGGGAAACTTGGGAGGGTCTGTAATTGAATAGGGCTCCCTATTTTCATTGGAGAAATGCTGGGGAGCAGACCCTCCAAGTATTTTCCAGTGACGTCTCTGATTTAGAGAAGTCATCCTGGTTTCTGATTTGACCCCAGAATGTCCCGCTTTTCCTTAGGACATCCCTATTTTCATGGGAGCAATGTTGGAGGGTATGGAGTTCTTTAACCCCGGGAGCCTTTTGAAGGCAATCTTGTACAGTATAAGTAAGTCCCCGTCCCCCCTTAAGCTCACTATTTTGAGACATTTTGCTTGGCCCACTAAAGGCTAGTTGTGTTTAAAACCCCCCCACCACGGCTTCCCCCTACCCCCCCCCCATCCCGCGACTTAGGAGTCAACCCCCCTTGGTCGCGTGTTGTGGTGCCTGCCGTGTGTTTGTTTACAACTTTAATTGGCGGCTTCCCCGGCCAGGAGACGCCTGCGTGGAAACGGGGCGCGAGGGGGCGGAGGAGGTGGAGCAGGGCGGCGGAGGCGGAGGCGGGGGGGGGGGACGGGACGGGGGACGGAGAGAGAGCGAGAGAGACACGTTACTTCTTCGGGAGACATGAATCATCCCAGAAATAACACCGCGCGAGGTCGTGGCAGCAGAGAGCAAGGCCGGCCCTGGAGCGGCTGGGCGCGTTTGCTCGGTCTCTCTCTCTCCCCCTCGCGCGCCCTGCCTGCGAAAAGATGGCTGAAGCTGCTGGCGGCGGCGGCGGCGGCGCCGGCTTTCTGGAGCAGCTCAAGTCGTGCGTCGTCTGGTCGTGGACGTATCTGTGGTCGCTGTGGTTCTTCCTCATGCTCTTCCTCGTCTACGTCCTGAGGGTGCCTCTGAAGATCAACGACAACTTGAGCACAGGTAGCGAGCGGCGACGCGCTTTTTGCAAAAAGCAACCCCCCCCCCAAAAAATAACTTGCAACTTTGCTCAGGGGGAAAAAAAACAAGGGCGCGCGCCACGGCTGGGCGGGAAAAGGCGAAGGGGCAACGGGGAAAGAAGGCGTCGTGCTGCAAACTTTTCCTGCCTCTCCCGTTCCTCTTTCCCCCTCCTCCCCACAGACTGGAAAACAGTAACAGCTGCGACACCCTTTCCTCATATTTCTTCACATAGGCATGCTTGGTTTTTGGGGGAGGGTTGTGGTTGAGGGTCCGCCTGCTGCGCCCCCCCCCCGTTTGCAAATCCACCCCCTTTTTTCAGTCTGATGCGCCCGCCCCCTTCTTGCAACCGGGCGCTTTGAGGGCGGGTCGAGGACAAGGGACGTTTTTAGGGGAGTTTTAATTTCCATGCTCGCCATACCCGTCTTTCCTCCTCAGCCCCGCTAATAAATGGTGGGTCGCTACAAAGAAGGGGGAAAGGAAGAAAGAGGTTCAGTTGGAAGAAGCAGCGATGCCTTCCTGCTCCTCGTCAGGACTTGAGGTGGGGGGAACCTCACACGCAGAAGGCGGGAATAATTTGGGCAAAGGCATCTCCGCCCTCTTTCTCAATGGAAGATGTACGTTTGAGGCATCTCCACGGTCCCAGCTGTGAGGAGGTGCTGGCAGACCACCTTCAAAAGAAGAAGAAGAAATAAACATGGTATTTGCTGGGTCAGAATAGAAGGCTGGTCATCTATGGCTTCCCTCTGAAGACTCATGAGCGGAACGGGAAGGTGTGATGGTGAGATCCTGAACTCTCCTCTTCAGAAGTACCTGCAAGGTGTACTGCCTTGCAGTTGTCGATAGGGCCACAGATTCCCCACCCCTGATAGCTCTATGTTGCTGCACCACAACTCTTCATTGCTCTTGGCTGTGGGTTAAGCTGACAGTGAAATGAAAATGAAATGGCTGGGGCTAATGGGAGCTGGAGTCCCGCAACATCAGAGGCACTTCAGGTTCCCCATCTGCGCCCTGTGGATTTTGCCTGTCCTTTCTGAACACAGTTCTAGCCTAAAGGTCATAATTGTGAATTTGATCACTTTCCACCTCACCTGCTGTTTTGTTGCTTGGTTGGCCCAGTGGTAGAGAGGCCCCTTCAGAGCTTTTGACAGTTTGTTTGGGATTTTAACACTCTGAATGATCTGGTGTCATTCACAAACTTGAGTCTTTCCCTAATTCATCCCAACTTCAAATAATGTATGACTGTTAAATTGCTCCAGTGCAGATTCACTCTTTGGTTTTTCCTTCTTTGGGAAATCTTTTCGTTTTTCTTTCTTTCTGCTTTCCTCTTTTTAGCCAATATTTGTTGATTTATTACTTATTTTCTAGGTTAATTTATATGCTGCTGTCAGAACAGTTACCAATCCATTATTGCAATTGGGCTTCTTCCCGCATAGCCACTAAGTTTTCAGAAGAGCATTTGAAGAGAGATTTAGATTATTATTTTTTGAAATTCCAAATACGTTGTATTTTTTCCATCTGCATGTTTATTGATTCAATTTTAAAAGATGGATTTAGCAAAAATTCCTTCTGCAGAAGCCACACTGGCTTTACCTCAGCAAGGCTTGTTCTTCTGTATGCTTGATAATTCTAGCCTTAATAATGTTTTCCGCCAATTTAACTTGGAAAGGCTATTAGAAATCATTGTTAAGTTTCCCCCTTTATCTGCTAGCAAGTTGGGTACCACTTTGTGTCTCAGGGAGAAGCTAAAGAATCTACTTTGCCATTTCAGGTTGTTAGCACAAATGGCAATAAGAAATTAGCATGTTTGCATTTCCCAAATTCTTCAATTCTAATATAATACCAGTAATATTTGCAGGTGAAGGTAATTTGTAGGGGCGAATCAGTGGGTAAGAAGTAGGTTGCTAAACTGTAGCTTCGGACAGAATTATGGCTCCCCACAAACCAAGAATTGACGCTTCTAAGCTCCATTCTAATGTCCAGTGGAAAGAGAGGACAGAATGCAGAGGTTTTGAGGCTGCTCATATTTGTTGTAATGGCAAAGAATGTTTGCTGTTGGTATAGCCATTGTTTATATACGTGGCTTTTTGCATACTGTACTGGCCTTGCTGCTTCCCCTTTTGGAGTGTTCACATTTCAAACTGATGTTGTTGGCCAACCATCAAAAGCTATGCAAGGTAGGAGAGAATTGTAAATGTTTTGGGAGGCACATTCAAATGGAATGGGCCTAGAGATTTGCAGAAAGGTTCAGCTTCTTTTGCCTGTTATAAATAAGTATTTTGATTGGAGGAGGGGCACATTTGTGTTTGAAGAAACAATGTGGGTGCATGTATTATGTAAAATAGCTGTGGATGCTAATTTTGTATTATGCTTTATGATGTCGTCTTGAGAATTTTTCATGAAATAGGGATTTATACTTGTAAGCTTTTGTATACAGAGATAGGAATGCTGAATGTAATGCTTTGTAGCTCAAGGAAAAATGCAACTAATCAATCCATAGTTCCTACAGCGATTCCCCTGTATTCAGCTATACAGCTGCAAAATTTTAACTGTGTTTTAAGTGCAATATACAATGTGACACTAGATGCCGATAGTGATCCTTATGGAAAATTCAATGTATTTCTAAAAACATTTTTTTAAAAGCATTTTCAGAACGTTTTTCATATGTGTGTAGATTCCATTGGGGGAGAATTTGAGGAACTGCTTTAAAATGGGTTTATCTAAGATTTTTTTATTAGATTATTCTGAAATTTGTGAAGGGCTCACCAGGTAGGTCCTCTGTTGAGTGTAGTGCAACAGCACTGGAGGGTCTAGCCCCTGATTTATAATATTGGGTGACTGTTTGGGCCTCCTCTCTTAGCTATGCAAGCACTATAACACTAACCACTAGTGTTGGGCTTTGGTTTTCAACAACAGCTGTGATTAGGTTTTGTTAGCTACTTGATTGCAGGCCAATCAGGCCCAGTTCTCACCAAGATGATTTATGAAGCAACATATCCGCCATGTAAGTCCCTGATTTGCACTATGAAGCTTTCATTCAGAGACAGATGTGCCATGCAGTGAAAATTACACCTTAGTTGCATCCATTTTATAAAGAGGACAACTATATCCTTTTCAGCAATTAGTAAAGGTAAAGGACCCCTGGCAGTTAAGTCCAGTTGCAGATGACTCTGGGGTTGTAGCGCTCATATCTGCTTTATTGGCGAGGGAGCCGGCGTACAGCTTCCGGGTCATGTGGCCAGCATGACTAAGCGCTTCTGGCGAACCAGAGCAGCGCACGGAAACGCCATTTACCTTCCCGCCAGAGCGGTACCTATTTATCTACTTGCACTTTTTGGTGTGCTTTTGAACTGCTAGGTTGGCAGGAGCTGGGACCGAGCAACAGGAAGCTCACCCTGTCGAGGGGATTCGAACCACCGACCTTCTGATCGGCAAGTCCTAGGCTCTGTGGTTTAACCCACAGTCATCATCAAATGGGATCATGGTGGGCCTGTCAAGAAGTTCTATTGCCAGTTTCCTCCATGTACTTCCCTTACTTTCAGTTTTTTAAAATCAGAGGTCAGTTTTTACCAGTCTGGAAACTGTATTGCCCAGCTGAGCAATATCTACAGTATCCTGTAGAAATAGATCTCAGATAAGTGATGGTAAGCAGAGGAGCCTTAAATTTATAACTTATCGTAAATTTTCGTAATGCAAATATGATAATAAAATAGAAATTACACAATGTATGATGCAGAATAAGCTTTGGAGTATTATAAACTATTGCCAGCAAGGAAAGGAAAAACAGCACAGTCATTGTGTCAGGCAAGAAACTAAAATAAGCACCCGAGATGAATGTGTTCTTGCCTTAGTCCAAAAAACCCCGCGTATGTTCTTAGCCTTGATAATCTGCTATGAGGTACATATTTTTTATTTTTTTAAAAAAATCTGTTTAAATTCATCTTGGCCTTTTAAAACCCTATATTTTTTTATCCTGGCCTTTTATTCAGTCTCATGTCTTCTTTTCTTTACATGTAGTTAGAAATTAACAGAGCAATCCTAACTCTTAATCCGCACAGCTGGCGGGGTTTAAGATTCTGCAATGGTATCCCTCTGCTGAGTTGTGTGTGAACGTAGTTGTCCCACTGGCTATCGTTGCGGTCAACAAAACTGCTGCTGCTGGCATAAGAACCTGAAATGTGTTTGAGAGTGCAGGCAGAACAAACCTATTTATGGATCCAGTTGATCCAACGCCAGTCAATAACCTTTAGCCCCTGTGCTGTGCCAGCCTGGAGCTGTTACACACAACCTCCCACACTTACCTGGGAGTAAACCCCACTGAATTCTTTGAATTTAATAGGACATACTTCAGAGTAGATATGTTTGGGTTTGTACTGTAAGAATGCGAAATTACTGGCCACAGTTCAGTGCAGGATCCACTAGAAATCAACAAGCTAAAGCCCAATTGCGTTTGTGTTGGATTGTGGCCTTCCCTTCTTAAAGTCTATTAAAAATTTAAGGATGCAATTAGTCTTGCAGCAGAAAGGTTGTGAGAACCCAGACAAAGAGGCTCCTGAGAAGCTTTGGTTTCACAGGAAAGCTGATAAATCTAAAACGTGACTTCCCAAAAATAACCATGTTGGTTTCAGTTGGTTTTGTTGCTTCCCTTGCCCCCCCCCCAGACAATAGCACCTCCTTTCTCTCTTTTATGACTGTAAGTGAGATTGCATTCTGTGTTGTAGAATAACGAATATGCTTTTATTCAACATTTGTTTAGTGCAGGGGTAGGCAACCTAAAGGGACGCGGGTGGCGCTGTGGGTAAAAGCCTCAGCGCCTAGGGCTTGCCGATCGAAAGGTCGGCGGTTCGAATCCCCGCGGCGGGGTGCGCTCCCGTTGCTCGGTCCCAGCGCCTGCCAACCTAGCAGTTCGAAAGCACCCTCGGGTGCAAGTAGATAAATAGGGACCGCTTACTGGCGGGAAGGTAAACGGCGTTTCCGTGTGCTGCGCTGGCTCGCCAGATGCAGCTTTGTCACGCTGGCCACGTGACCCGGAAGTGTCTCCGGACAGCGCTGGCCCCTGGCCTCTTAAGTGAGTGGGCGCACAACCCCAGAGTCTGGCAAGACTGGCCCGTACGGGCAGGGGCACCTTTACCTTTACCTTAGGCAACCTAAGGCCTGTGGGCCGGATGCGGCCCAGTCGCCTTCTCAATCCGGCCCACAGACTGTCCGGGAATCAGAGTGTTTTTACATGGGTAGAATGTGTCATTTTATTTAAAATGCATCTCTGGGTTATTTGTGGGGCTTGCCTGGTGTTTTTACATGAGTAGAATGTGTGTTTTTATTTAAAAAGCATCTCTGGGTTATTTGTGGGGCATAGGAATTCATTCATTCTAAACCCCCCCCCCCCAAAAAAAAAGTCCGGCCCACCACATGGTCTGAGGGACAGTGAACCAGCCCACGGCTGAAAAAGGTTGCTGACCCCTGGTTTAGTGCTAATGCAGTAGGTGCTGACCAGGAAAACAATGCAACGAAACAGACCGGTCACCTACATTAAACAAGAAGGTGAATAGGAAATGGTTAGCCAGTAGGGGAAAAAATGGATAAAATGTTAGACTGTGGTGGAAAACATTGCTCTGGGAGTTTCTTCATGCATCTTTGGATTCATGTATGCAGCAGAATTGAGATTCCGACACCTGAGCTACTGCAGAATAAAATTACATTGAATAGCAGGTGCCTTGTAATAAAGTACCCATGAAAACAAACAAAACAAAACAAAAACAAGGAACTGGGGATATGAAAGTA